GCCCAAGATGGCCTCCAGGACGCCCAAGATGGCCTCCAATCGGCCCCGAAGCGCCCCAAGAGGTCCCCCAGTCGGCCCAGAAAGGCCCCCAAGACGGCTCCCAACGGCGTCAGACGTGCCAGGAACCCACCAAGATGGCCGAAGTTGGCTCGAAGCTGGCCCAAGACTGCCCACGAGGCCCCCAAGAGGGCCTCCAGGAAGGCCAGAAGAGGCCAAAAACCTTGATCTTCCTAAGTTGTTTGACGGATTTCGACACTTCCTTCTTTTCGGCCTTCAGACGGCCCGAGACGGCCCCAGAGCCCCCAAAAATCGCCGAAAGATCGCCCAAGAGGCCTCCAAGATGACCCCAGAACGGCCCAAGAGGGCCCCAAGGCGGCCCCAAGAGGCCCCCAAGACGGCACAGGAGGCCTTTAAGACGCCCAAGATGGCCTCCAAGACGGCCCTGGAGCATTCCAAGAGGGCCCCAAGTCGACCCGTGGAGGCCCCCCAAACGGCTTCCGACGGCGTCAGACGGACCAGGAGCCCACCAAGACGGCCGAACATGGCCCTAAGATGGCCCAAGACGGCCCAAGGGGCCTCCAAGAGGGCCTCCAGGAAGGTCCGAAAATGCCCAAATCATTGATTTCCCATGGGTGTCTGAAGGATTGTGGCATTTGCTTTTCTCTGCCTTCCGACGGCCCGAGACGGCCCAAGTGCCCCCCAAGATCGCCCAAAGGGCCCAAGACACGGCCCAAAGAGGCCCCCAAGACGGCCCAAGAGGTCTCCTAGACGCTCAAGATGGCCTCCAAGACGGTCCAAGAGCCCTCCAAGACGTCCTCCAAGAAGGCCCGAAAAGATCAAAATTGCCTCCAGACGGCCAAGATGACCTTCAAGATGCCCACGTGTTCCGCGAAGGCTTTCCAAACCGATTCGGGGAACACATGGTCCGATAGCTTGGCAAGTCTGGCCTCAACGTTCGGCCACATAGGCGCTTCCAAAAAGGCAGGGGGCGGCGGTGATTCGCCGTAGGCGTCTTCGATCCGCCGCCCCCTGTCGATTCATCGCAAGGGTGCCTGGCGTGCTAGATCCTCTCGGTTTTGGTTTTCGTTCTTTTCCAAAAGAACTCCCCCTGGGCTTCGGCCCGTCCCGCCGGCCATCCGGAAAACCCATCTGTCAATGCTTATGTTGCTCCAAGATGGCCCAAGATGGCCTCCAAGACGGCCAAGATGGCCCAGGATGGTCTCCAAGATACCTCCAAGTCCGCCCAAGATGGCCTCGAAGAGGGCTAAGATGGCTCCACAATGCACCCCATACGGCCCAAGATGGCCTCAAGATGGTCTAAGACGGTCCAAAAGGCCCGCAAGAGGCCTCCAAGACGGCCCAAGAGGTCTCCAAGAGGTCCTCCAGGAAGGCCCGACGAGGCCAAAATCATTGATTGTCCTCAGGTTTTTGAAGGATTCTGGAATTCGCGCCTCTTCGGCTTTCCGACGGCCCAAGACGGCCCAAGAGGCTCCCAAGATCGCCCAAGAGGCCCCCAAGAGGGCCCCATGACGGCCCAAGTGGCCTCCAAGATGGCCCAAGAGGGCCCCAAGACGGCCCAAGAGGCCTCCAACACGCCCAAGATGGCCTCCAAGACGGCCCCGAAGCGCCCCAAGAGGGCCCCAAGTCGGCCCAGAAAGGCCCCCAAGACGGCTCCCGACAGCGTCAGACGTGCCAGGAACCTACCAAGATGGCCGAAGTTGGCTCGAAACTGGCCCAAGACGGCCCAAGAGGCCCCCAAGAGGGCCTCCAGGAAGGCCAGAAGAAGCCAACAACTTGGATTTGCCTAAGGTGTTTGACGGATTTTGACATTTGCTTCTTTTCGGCCTTCCGACGGCCCGAGCGGCCCAAGAGCCCCCAAAGATCGCCGAAAGATCGCCCAAGAGGCCTCCAAGATGGCCCCAGAACGGCCCAAGAGGGCCCCAAGACGGCCCAAGAGGCCCCCAAGACGGCACAGGAGGCCTTTAAGACGCCCAAGATGGCCTCCAAGACGGCCCTGGAGCATTCCAGAAGGGCCCCAAGTCGGATAGAGGCCCCCCAAACGGCTTCCGACGGCGTCAGACGGACCAGGAGCCCACCAAGACGGCCGAACATGGCCCTAAGATGGCCCAAGACGGCTCAAGAGGCCTCCAAGAGGTCCTCCAGGAAGGCCTGACAAGGCCAAAATCATTGATTTCCCATGGGTGTCTGAAGGATTGTGGCATTTGCTTTTCTCTGCCTTCCGACGGCCCGAGACGGCCCAAGTGCCTCCAAAGATCGCCCAAGAGGCCCAAGACACGGCCCCAAGAGACCCCCAAGACGGCCCAGGAGGTTTCCTAGACGCTCAAGATGGCCTCCAAGACGGGCCAAGAGCCCTCCAAGACGTCCTCCAAGAAGGCCCGAAAGGATCAAAATGGCCTCCAGACGGCCAAGATGACCTTCAAGATGCCCACGTGTTCCCCGAAGGCTTTCCAAACCGATTCGGGGAACACATGGTCCGATAGCTTGGCAGGTCTGGCCTCAACGTTCGGCCACATAGGCGCTTCCAAAAAGGCAGGGGGCGGCGGTGATTCGCCGTAGGCGTCTTCGATTCGCCGCCCCCTGTCGATTCATCGCAGGAGTGCCTGGCGTGCTAGACGATTTCGGCTTTGGTTTTGGTTCTTTTTCCAAAAGAACTCCCCCTGGGGCTTCGGCCCGTCCCGCCGGCCACCCGGAAAGGAGCACAATGAGTCCCCAAAGATCGCCCAAGGATCCCCCAAGAGGCTTCCAAGTGGCCCCAGAACGGCTCAAGAGGCTCCCAAGACGGCCCCAAGAGGCCTCCAAGACTGCCCAGGATGCTTTGAAGACGCCCAAGATAGCCTCCTAGACGGCCCTGGAGCATTCCAAGAGGGCCCCAAGTCGACCCGTAGAGGCCCCCCAAACGGCTTCCGACGGCGTCGGACGGGCCAGGGGCCCACCAAGACGGCCGAACATGGCCCTAAGATGGCCCAAGACGGCCCAAGAGGCCTCCAAGAGGGCCTCCAGGAAGGCCCGAAAAGGCCAAAATCATGGATTTCCCATGAGTTTTTGAAGGATTGTGGCATTTGCTTTTTCCCTACCTAGGCTCTGCCTCGAAGGGTTCTTACTCGGTATGCTTAAAGGGCCGGGCAGTGCAACTCGCCCCGGGCGGTTCCCCCAGTATCCGCCCCGCGGTTCCCCCAGCTACGTCCCCTTAGCTTAGCGTTGCTTATCTCATCTTAGCTTAGCTTATCTAATATTAGCTTAGCTTAGCTTCATCTTAGCTCAGGTTTATCTTCGCTTAGCTTACCTTCATCTTAGCTTCGCCGAGCTTTAGCATAGCAGAGCACAGCATAGCATAGCAGAGCGTAGCACAGCACAGCGCCGCACAGCATATCATAGCAAAGCCCAGCATAGCACAGCATAGCGCAGCATAGCATAGCATAGCATAGCATAGCATAGCACAACATAGCGCAGCACAACACAGCGCTGCATTAGCATATCATAGCATATCATAGCATAGCATAACATAGCCAATCATACCATAGCATAGCATTTCATAGCATAGCATAGCGAAGCACTGCATAGCATAGCATAGCATAGCATAGCATAGCATAGCGCAGCTTAGCATAGCATAGCATAGCATAGCACAGCGCAGCAGGACATAGCATAGCTCAACATAGCATAGTTTAGCACAGCATAGCATAGCATAGCGCAGCATATCATAGCATAGCATAGCATAGCATAGCGCAACACAGCATGGCATGGCATGGCAAAGCATAGCATAGCAACGAATGCTGCTTTCCTAGGGGCTCCAACTTCTAGGTAGGGTCGCACTGGGGTAATGTTCTGCCTTCCGACGGCCCGAGACGGCCCAAGTGCCCCCAAAGATCGCCCGAGAGGTCCCCAAGACGGCCCCAAGAGGCCCTCAAGACGGCCCAGGAGGTCTCCAAGACGCTCAAGATGGCCTCCAAGACGGCCCAAGAGCTCCAAGAAGGCCCGAAAGGGTCAAAATGGCCTCCAGGCGGCCAAGATGACCTTCAAGATGCCCACGTGTTCCCCGAAGGCTTTCCAAACCGATTCGGGGAACACATGGTCCGATAGCTTGGCAGGTCTGGCCTCAACGTTCGGCCAAATAGGCGCTTCCAAAAAGACAGGGAGCGGCGGTGATTCGCCGTAGGCGTCTTCGATCCGCCGCCCCCTGTCCATTCATCGCAGGGGTGCCTGGCGTGCTGGACGATTTCGGTTTGGGTTTTGGTTCTTTTTCCAAAACAGCTCCCCCTGGGGCTTCGGCCCGTCCCTCCGGGGTCCCGGGAAGGATCTCAAAACACATCCGTCGATACCTTCGTTGCCCCAAGTTGGCCCAAGATGGCCTCCAGGACGGCCAAGATGGCCCAGGATGGCCTCCAAGTTCGCCCAAGATGGTCCAAGATGGCCTCCAAGACGGCCCAAGCGGGTCCAAGATGCCTTCTAAATCGTCCAAGAAGCCTCAAAGCGGGCCAAAGATGGCCTCAAGATGGCCCAAGTGGGTGCCAAGAGGTCCCCCAGGAGAGCCCGAAGAGGCCAAAATCATTGCTTTTTGGTTAAATGATTTGAATGATTTGGGCATATTCTGCTGTTAAGCCTTCCTGCTGTCCAAGACGGCCCAAGAGGCCACCAAGATCGCCCCCAGAGCACCCACAAGGCCTCCAAGATGGCCCCATGACGGCCCAAGAGGGCCCCCAAGACGGCCCGAAGAGGGCCCCAAGACGGGCCAAGAGGCCTCCTAGACGCCCAAGATGGCTTCCAAGACGGCCCCGAAGCGCCCCAAGAGGGCCCCAAGCCGGTTCAGAGAGGCCCCCAAGACGGCTCCCGACGGCGTCAGACGGTGTGGGGCGGGGGCCGGATGCCCCAGTGCCGTCTGGAGCCGCACGGGGGGGCAGGGTTCGAATGTGCTTGCAGATCCGCCTCTCGCCTGCCGCCCCCCCCCCTTCTCCCCTCCCCATCCCCCGAAGAGGTCCTCCGACTCCGCATTCTCAGCAGGATCGCCGGGGCCAAACAACTGCCCGAACACCTCGCGGCGAGCTGACACGGCGTCGGGCCCGTCGGCCAGGACCAGCGCGTGGAACATGTCCTCCGAGGCGACACGGTCGTGCTCCGATCGGTCATATACCCCACGGTGCAGTTCAATCACGTCACGGTAAGGCGCCTCCTGCACGACCTCCAGCAATGCAGCCTCAAGATCGCCGAGTGAGACGTTGCGAGAATGCTCGCGGCCGTCCAGCAAAGGCCATTGGCTCATGAAGCTGTCAGGCGGGAAGATGCGCTCTTGTGCGTCGACTGGGAGCTGCGAGAACGCACCATGTTCCAGAGTCACTACCTGTAAACCTCGACCAGAATTAGCCGACACGCTGTCCCTTCGCAATACGCCGTCCGCCTTCGTCCAGCTGCTCTCGTATACCCGAACGCGTTGTCTGCCACGAAGTGACGAAGCCAAGCGGAGCGCCAAACTGAGGCCGATAACTCCTCCTGGAAAGATTGTGAAAAGCAGGTGCCCAAAAGGGGAATGCTTGCCGCCCAAGTCAACGGAAATATTGTCGGCACATGCGCGCGCCTTTCGTTTTGCACAAGAACCAGGTTCACCCCCCTGGCTTGCGGCAGGCAAGTAAAACAAGACCATACCAGGATGGATCGTGGAAGGTATTTGCTTGACCGCATGCCAGCACGCGTTCCCGAGAGTATGTATCAGACTTCTCCGTCATGCGTATCCTTCAAAACAGGACAGCTAAATCGGCCAAGCCGAGCATGCCACGCTAACAAAGGAGGTAGCCCACCATGAGGCCCCAGACAGCAACAGTGGGCACCAGCGGCATGGCGCTGCGCAACACAACACGGCAGGCACAACATGACACAATGACACCACGGCACGACACGGCACCTTTACCCCACCTGAACGCTCTCTGTGCAATCACCTCGGTGGACCACCGCACGGGCACGGCACGACACGGCACCGCTGGACCCCCAAATCGCGGCTTGGACCCCTCGGCGCACCACCGCACGACACTGCGCGGCGCACGAGGCACAATGGCATGGCACGGCATCGCACGGCATGGCACGGCATCGCGCGGCATGGCACGGCATGGCACGGAATGGCACGGCACTGCGGTTTCACGGCGCTACGGTACGGCACACCTCCAGACAGCAGCATCACGAGTTGGTGCTCTCTGGCCTCTTCGACAAACACTATACCACATAGAGACCCTGAACACCAGGGCTGCATGAGAAGGCACACGGTGAATCGACATCGATATGCGCGCGCACGGCACAACACTCCGGCACGGCACGGCACGTGGGCCGGCACGCCACGCGTCCAGAAGGGGCAGCTGGCACAGCACGGCACCAGGCGGCACATTTTCGCCTCCTACAGATTGTCGAATTCTGGTGTTCAGGCAAGGCCTTGCACAGCATGGGCGCGCGGGTACGGCACGGCACGGCACGGGCACGGCACGGCACGGCACGACTGGCACTTTTGTCGCATTCTGGAACTCAGGCCGGGCCCGGCACAGCACGGCACGATCAGGCAAGGCCTGGCGCGCCACAGCACGCGGGCACGGCACGGTCGGCACGTCTGCCGCATTCTGGAGTCCAGGCACCGCCCAGCCCAGCACGGCACGGCACGCGGACACGGCAAGGCACGGCCCGGCACGCTTGGCACTTTTGGCACGGCACAGCACCAAGGCACAGCGCGGCATGGGCACGGCACGTCACAGCACAGCACAGCACGGCCCAGCTGGCAATTTTGACGCGTTCTCGGGAGCAGAATCGCCTTTGACGCGTGCACTGTTTGGACCACCCGACACACGGGGCGCCCACGAGCGCCCACGAGGCGGCACGGGGCGGCAGCGCGGAAGCTCCTCGGCGGACCGGCTCAATTCCTCAAGTAACGCAAGTAAGGATCCCTAAGTGCAAGCAATGCTTGGGGGAAAAATGATCAGTGACTGGCAGGCCCCTCCTGCAGCGCAGAGTCGCGATACCCTGCGATCTCGTGAGGAGTCCAGGCCCTCGGCCGGAAAGCGGCATTTCTTGCAGCCTGGCTGGACTGAAACATGTTACTGTTCTGCCCGCTGGGACCTCCTATCACGACCACCTCGAACTGGAGGTCTGGGTCCGCAGCTGGCGCCTGCTCGGAAGGCGGCCGGGCGCGCAGGTAAGCACGGGCACAAGCCTCTGCTGCATATGAAGAGGACGCACGTTCCACTCAAAAGCACGACAATTCCACACATCTGCCACCGAACACACGACAAACAACTTAGCCTGGCTGGACAAAAACGGGACACGCCGTCTTTGTCCACAATGCTCGTAAGACGAAGGGCAAAGGAAGGGAGAAGAGCACCACAAGGAGGCGTGTGAGGAGGAGGACAGCGCAGAGGACGAGGTGAAAGAGACAAGGACCAGGAGGACAGGGAAGGAGGAAGACGACAAGATCGACGAGGAGGTATACGAGGACGGCAGCGTGGAAAACGAGAAGGTCCACGTGGATAAGGATGGGGAGAGCGGAGAGGACGAGGAGGACGAGGCTCTCGAGAAGGAGGAGGAGGAGGAGGACGACGACGAGGAGGACCGTGCAAGAAAGGAGGGCCCTGGGTACTTCTAGGGACTACGAAGTGGACTACCAGGAACGTCACAGGCCGTTTTCGAGCCTCCCTCAAGCCTCTGGGACGCATCTTGACAGCCAACCGGGGTGCTCTGGGGACGTTTGGGCCAATTTGGACTGTCTGGGCTTGCCTTAGGGAGTTTGGGAGGCTCTCTTGGGCAGTCTTGGCGCCTCCTTGAGCTGTATTGGCGCTCTCCTGTGCCGTCATGGGGCCTCCTGGAGCGCTTTTTGGGAGCTTCTTGGGGCCCTCTGGGGCGCTTATTGGGTTCTCTGGGAGGCCAGTTGGAACTCTCTTGGGCAATTTTGAAACCCTCCAGGAGAGATTCCAAGACGATGCTGTAGGACTGTCGTAGCGAAGCGGCCATGTTGGAAAAAACCGGACCAAACAAAAACGGGAGGCGCCGCTTCTCTGGACTCGAGTGATCGCGGGTGCAGGGATTCGAGCCCAAAACGAACTGGGTGCACATGGGGTGTCGCCGCATGGCTTGGCAAGACCATCTGTACGGTATGCGGCACGCCTGTGTTAAGTGCTTGCCCGTGGCTGCATTGGTTAGATGGGTGCTGCGCGTAGCGCGTGAGGCCCTCCAGGAGGCCCCCGAGAGATCCTTCAGAGGCCTCCAAGAGTAAAGGGAACGCGGTCGAGTTTAAGACCCACTCGAATTCAGACTGCGCGCTGAATTGACGCTGTGCTGCTGCGCGGGCAAGTTGGCGGGGTTCGCCGCAGGCAGCTGGAGATGCATCACCCGACAAGAGAAATCCCACAAGGCCCTATAGGCGCAGGTGGTTGAGCGAGCTCGATAGTCGCACCCCGTTCTTCGCCTTCGGAGAGGGGGGTACCACTGCTACGTGTCCGCCACCGTGCCAGCAAGGCACAAGTTGGAGTATCCTCAGGTTCCTTGGAATCCTCGGTCCTCTGCCATGAAGTTCTTGGAGGGGCCCGGACCTCTAATCCCACCAGCCCTTTGGGCGTGAGTGGTTTAGAGAGCCCGCTCTGTTCTCAACCCCCTTCTTCCCCTTCGGGGAGGGGTTTACCCATCCCCCTACCCCCTCCCCCTGGGCCTGGAGAGGTCGTTCCGCGGGTCGTCAGGGGGGTCATTTTCGACTCCTGGGAGGGCTAAAAAACGACACCCCTCACGAGGATTTTGGCCCCGACGGGGGGAGGGAGAAAAAATGCTCTCCTCTTCTTTGAAGCCAAAATCATTGATTTTACTACGGTGTTGGCCCCATTTTGGCCTTCTGAGGGGGCAGCGCTCATTACAGCTCCCCTCTTCTTTCAAGGCAAAACCATTGATTTTACGAAGGTTTTGGGCCCATTTTGCCCTTCTGAGGGGGCAGCGCTAATTAAAGCTCCCTTCTTCTTTGATCGATTTCCTCCAAGATGGCCCCAAGAAGCGCCCAGGAGGCACCAAGAGGCCCCAAGATGGCCCCCAGAGGCCCCCAGGAGGCTCCCAAGAGGCCTCCAAGAGGCCCCCAAGATGCCCCCAAGAGGCCCCCAAGAGGCGCCGAAGTCGCCCCAAGAGGCCTCCAAGAGGCTCCCAAAAGACATCTACTACTCCTTCTACTCCTACCACTACTACTACTACTACTACTACTACTACTACTACTACTACTACTACTCCTACTACTCCTACTACTACTACTTACTACTACTACTACTACTACTACTACTACTACTACTACTACTACTACTACTACTACTACTACTACTACTACTACTACTACTACTACTACTACTACTACTACTACTACTACTACTACTACTACTACTACTACTACTACTACTACTACTACTACTACTACTACTACTACTACTACTACTACTACTACTACTACTACTACAACTACTATTACGACTACTACTAGTTCTAGTCCTACTACTACTACCCCTACTACTACTACAACTACTACTACTGCTCATACTACTAGTACTACCACTACCACTGCTACTAGTACCACTGCTACTAGTACTACTGGGACTACTACTACTACTGCTGCTATTCGTACTAGGACTACTACTTCTACTACTTTCCCAAGTCCTAGTACTGCTACTACCACGACAACTACCACTACAACTACTAAGACTACCATCACTACTACTGCTTCTAGTACTGCTACTACTACGAACCCCAACTAGTACTTCTACCTATACGATTACTACTTCTACGCATGGTGCCACCGCCACTACTACTACCAGTACTACTACTACTACTACTACTACTACTACTACTACTACTACTACTACTACTACTACTACTACTACTACTACTACTACTACTACTACTACTACTACTACTACTACTACTACTACTACTACTACTACTACTACTACTACTACTACTACTACTACTACTACTACTACTACTACTACTACTACTACTACTACTACTACTACTACTACTACTACTACTACTACTACTACTACTACTACTACTACTACGACTACGACTACTACGACTACGACTACGACTACTACTACTACTACTACTACTACTACTACTACTACTACTACTACTACTACTACTACTACTACTACTACTACTACTACTACTACTACTACTACTACTACTACTACTACTACTACTACTACTACTACTACTACTACTACTACTACTGCTACTACTGGCTACTACTCGTACTACCACTACTAATCCCACCAGCCCTTTGGGCGTGAGTGGTTTAGAGAGCCCGCTCTGTTCTCAACCCCCTTCTTCCCCTTCGGGGAGGGGTTTACCCCTCCCCCTACCCCCTCCCCCTGGGCCTGGAGAGGGCGTCTCGCGGGTCGTTGGAGGGGTCTTTTTCGACTCCTGGGAGGGCTAAAATTCGACACCCCTCACGAGGATTCTGGCCCCGACGGGGGGGGGGGGAGAAAAGTGCTCGCCCCATCTGTGATCGATCGCCCGACAGATGGCCCCAAGATTCCTCCCAGACCCCTCCCAAAGAGTCCCAAGAGGCCCCAAGAGGCCTCCAAGAGGCCCCCAAGATGCCCCCAAGAGGCGCCCAAGAGGCCCCAAGAGGCTCCCCCGAGGCACCCAAGACGCTCCTGGAAGCCCCTGGAGCCGCCAAGAGGCCCCCAAGACGCCCCAAACGGCCTCCAAGAGGCTCCCAAGAGGCCCGAAGAGGCTCCCCCAAGGCACCCAAGACGCTCCTAGAAGCCCCTGGGGCCGCCAAGAGGCCCCGAAGACGCCCCAAAAGGCCTCCAAGAGGCTCCCAAAACGACTCACACCACGACGAGGGCCCCGAACGACTCACACCACGAGGAGCCCGAACGAGTCACACCAGGAGGAGGGGCCCGAACGACTCACACGACGACGAGGGGCCCGAACAACTCACACCACGAGAAGCCCGAACGACTCACACCAGGACGAAGAGCCCGAACGACTCACATCACGAAGAGCCCGAACGATTCACACCAGGAAGAAGGGCCCGAACGACTCACACCAGGACAAGAAACCCCAAACGACTCAAACCACGAGGAGCGCTTTCTCTCCCTCCTCCTCCGCCTCGTCCTTCTCCCGCTCCCACCACAAGGAGGATGTACAAGGAGGCGGGAGGAAGGAGGAACAGGGGAGATATGCGGGGGCAGGCGGAAACACGCCTGAAAAACACGACTGTCGGCATGCTTCGCAAGAGTTGCTGTTTTGAGATGGGCTGGTGGGGATACGCGAAGCGTAAAGAATTCTCAAATCTCTCGGGGCGTGGCGCGGCTCTCCCTGGAATTGTCGCGGCTCTCCGAGAGTTTGTCGTGTCTTGTCGGGTGATTTGTCCGAGCTCAAGGGGGTCAAGAACATGCCAAGCGGCCCCCAAGAGGCCCCAGGAGGCCCCCAATAGGCCCCCAAAGCGCCCCAAGAAGCCCCAAAACGGCCCCCAAGAGGCATCAACACTGCATCCAATTGGCTCCCGAAAGGCCTCCCAAGAGATCCACACATGCAGCCCTGAAGACAGCACGGCGGCGGGTTGGGCCGAAGGCCTTTCGGACTAGTAGCAACCCCCCTCCGCCATTCGACCGGCCGCCAATCAGGAACCACGCGCCCTCCCCCCCCCCGCCACCCCTCTCAAGTATCCTGGCAAGGGGAAGGGACCAACCACATTCAGGCTTGAATATCGCACGGCAGGCGGGGCACAAAGGAAGGGGAACTTCCTGCGGGGCCATGAAACGCGTGAGGGGTGTGCCAATATTTTTTCACTCATGGGCAGAAGGTGCGCCGCTCCGAGGTCGGCGAACCCATAGGCCTTCAGCCTCTGGAGCTGGAGGCTCTGGCCTTCTGGTGTCTCTGGAGTGCCTGGAAATGCTCAATGTCCTGAAACCGCTTCCCGTCCACAGGGCGTAGTCCATTAAGCAACCTCTTTAGGGCCATATACCTGGAGCCACTCTTTGGTGGCCCTTTGCACTCCACCAGAAGGCCTCTGAAAACAAACGTGGCATGATTGCCACATCTTGCACAGAAAACCAGCAGGCCGTCTCCACAGGTGCCTGCCGAAAGAGTGTGGGAGGAGTGCACTTGTCTGAAGCGCTCCCTAAACTCGCT